CTTCTTGTCAGTTGTGTGTCTGGAAACGGTTTCCAGGAGCAGTTATTCATCACCTTCCTGGAGACTGAGCTGATGCTGAAGGGCCTGTAGTTCTCCAAATCTTCCTCTTTGCCATCCTTGAAGACTGGAGTAGTATTTGCTCTGTTCCAGTCTTCGGGAACCTCTTGTAGTTGCTGACCATTCAAAGACAATTGGGACTGGCCTCACAGTGACATCTGCAGCTCCCTCAGCACTTTTGAGCTTATGTAAAAACACACTATGTGCTCCCTAACCTCATCCTTCTTTACTGAGGGTAAGTCAGTCTTCCTTGCTCCAGATTTTCCCTCTGGCCTCAGGGGCCTGGGATTCCTGAAAGTAGTTTTCACTGGTAAAGTCTGAGGCAGAGAAGGCATTGAGTACCTCATCCTTCTCTGTGTCAGTTGTCACCAGTTTCCCAGCTCCATTCAGCAGTGGGCTCACATTTTCCTTTTGCTGTTGATGTAGTTGTAGAATGCTTTCCTGTTGTCCTTCGCATTCCTTGCCAGATTCAACTCCAGGTGGACCTTGACTTTCCTAACCCCATCCCTGCATGACTGGACAGCAGCACTACACTTCTCTAGGGTCACTTGACCCTGCTCCCACCTCGTGTCCACTTCCCTTTTATGTCCGAGTTCAACGGCACGAACAAAGTGGAAATGAGAGGTCAGTGAGAGTTGTTCTTCCATGTCTACCTGTAACTGTTGATTTTGTTGATTAACAGAGAGGGGGACAAATATAAAGTCATATTAACTACTGCCACGTGCTACACGTGACCAAAGATCAGCAGAAATACGGCTGCTTGCTTGTAGGCTGTGAACTGCCAGACCTTAAAACGCTTTCATTTTGAGGGACTTAATTATCACGTAGAACTCCTTGGGTTAAAAAGTTAGTCTGTATCCTAAAATAAATGGCTTAATTGTATTTGTAGCAGGGAAAATTGCTATATTTTCTGCATCCATATTTTAGGTTTTGCAGATAGATATGGAATTATATCTACAGCTGAAGTTTATTCTTACCTGTTTTCCATGTAAAATGAGAAATTCTGAGAATAGTAAGGAAATGGTATTAAAAAAGATTTTGTATTACTGGCTAATAGAACCTCTCTGCAGTTCTAAAAAAGAATACTTCAGAAACAAGGGGTGAATAAGAATGGATAATATAACAGATGGATGAAAGTGGAATTTATAGAAACTGCTGAGGTTCAGAAAATGAAAGGGCTGGTAATAGCAATTAATGATTGTGAAGCCTGCTACACTGTTCTGTGAGATGTTAAAACCACGTCTGAAAAGGAGAGAAGATTAAAATACATATTGATTGGCTGATGGGCAAAAGGTAAGGTTTAAAAGCAAAGAATTGACTAATATGCATTGTATTAATTAAACTCTTCTCATCATTGTGAATAAACAAGGGATGATAACCCATATCTGTAAATTCCTGAATTGATTCCAGATTGAGTGTACTTCAAAGGTCTATGCCATGTAAACCAGAAAGCACCTTCAGAAGGGTCTTTTCCTGCAGTTCAGGGGAACTGCAAGACATGATGTTTTCTGCTGCATGATTTTCATTCTGAGTTTTCCTACTGATTTAATAAGCAACACGTAGTGGGTGGATGATAAGATAGGGCCCAAAGTGTACAAGTTCGCCAGGAATACCTAATATGTCTTCTGTGAGGACAGACAACACAGAAAAGGCAAGTGTGTCAATTTAATCAGCTGTTGATAACCAGAGGTGACTAGTTATAAAATATTTGGATTAAACTTACAAACATGGAGATATTAGGGTCCTGTTGAGGAAGGACAGTAAGGGGGTGCTTTGGAAGCAGGACTAATAAACCATACATAGACTAAGGTGGTATACCTCCTGTGTGAATTCCTGACCCTGTTGAAGTGAATAGGAATTTTGGCCTTTTATTCACCAAGACCTATATTACACCCAAGATGGATTCCTTGCCTGCTGGGATGCCCAGTGCATTAAGGAATGTTACTGGGGCAACACGTGCTTCTCAGTGTTTCTCCTGCCTTGGGTGTAGATCTTTTTGCTAGGAGAAACAATAACAATACTCCGCACTGCTTTTCTTTTCTCTGAGACTTTGAAAGCCTTATATAAAGTGCCTTTAGCTCATTTTAAGACTTCTGCAGCTGTGGCCCAAAGAAGTTTTAAGGGACATGTCAAAGCTAAAACGCTCCCTACTGTAAGGTAGATAGACCCAAATATTTTGCCTCATTATCTTATAAGGGTCCCATTTCCCTTATCTGTGGTTCTCTCAGATTTTGTTCTCTCATATTCTAATACTTAAAATAAAATTTTAAAATTAGAAGAATGAGACCTGGGTTAGAAGATCTTGTTCAGTGAACTCTTCAGAGGAAGTCTCTCCCACATGACTGCTTGGTGTCCCCAGCTTGTATGCAGGTTACATATATATTTTTTCCCATTTTCCTTTCTCTGTCTTTTCTATAAATATGTTTTACTGTCATGGACTGTTGCATGGCCAGGAAAGATCTGTAGCACAGATAGCAAACAAATACAGCAGGAGGAGCTGAGTCGCTCCTTGCCATCAGCTGGAAGCACAGAAGGATTTCTACAGTTTAGCAGAGTCCTTAAGTAAAAAGATTTAATTGAAACTCAGCCTGCATAAGTAAGGTTGACTCACCTTCATGTAGTCGCTAGTTTTGGTAGCTGCTTTTGAATTTAAACAAACATTGGGTGTTCCAGAGTGTCAGAAACTGAGCTGCAGCCTGGCCACCTCCACAGCACAGGTCCAGAGAGGACAGCAGTGCCGCAGCCTCCCTCCGCTGCCCTTGGTGGTGCGCCAACCCACCTCACCTGGAGAGCTGCCACCCTGACCACTGAGTGTTTCTGCAGTGGCCACTACAAGCATTGACTGGCATTTGTGATGGTCATACTCTTTGTCAAAATTATCCCTTCTTCATCCAGTGACTTTTCCAGCTGAGCCTTGATACGTTTTTTTGTTCAGAGATCTTTGCAGGTGATGTCTTGGCCAGCCAGTCATCTTCTCTGAAGTGCTGGCTCTCCCCTACAGGGTCATATTGCTGTAGCGTTGATGAAGCCAAAACGGACTGACATCATTCTGAACTGCAAGTAGTTTCTTGCATTCCCCTCACATACTCCAACAGCAGTGCTATGTCATCTACAATCTTTTTCATCTGCTTCCCTTCGGTTGTATCTGACGCCCTTATTAGAGTTTCCAATTGATTTCTGCTGCTGCGTCACCCAGTCAATTGCAACACTGCACAGTGCAAGGTTTAAACAAGAAAAAAAATGCTGCCCTGGTTACTCCCTGGGTTGTCTATAAGCCGCTCAGGATTCCCTGCTGTTTGTTTTCACATAAGATTCAGTGCGATATCTGGCAAAGCCAATGATCTCAATAGCAAAGTTGCAGTGGCAGCATCACTATGGAGATTTCTCTCTGTTTCTCCTGTCCAAGCTCCTTGAAAAAGTGAGGAAGTTGATTATTACACTGTTTTCAGTACTTAGCACTGCTCCGTATTATGTCAAGACGTATCAGGCAGGGGAGCTTCATACTGACGGTGCTTAGGCATGTATTTCCAGAGGCATCAATTAGCAAATTAGCAAGCCCTACATTATGAGACAATTGAACAGCTTTATTGTATTTTTGCTATCATAACAACATGCATTACCTCGTGCTTTTCATCTAGAGAGCCTACTAGTGCATTAGAGCCAGTGGAATATTAAAACCTGTTGTTTGCAGAAGTAAGCTGAGGGACAGAGTGATTAAGTGACTGGCCCTAAATACTGGTCAAGAGTAAATTTTAACACAGACTTAGGGGATCCAGGTTCTCAGCTCCCTTTCAAGACATCAAATTGCACCTGGGTCTTTGTGTTGGTATTTCATGTGCTTTCCACTCATTAAAAAAAAACCACAACAAATTCAGTTGTAAGAAAATTGAGGTAAAAAAAAATAATCAGTATTTTCTTCCCAGTCAGTTTCAGTCAAAAATGAATGAGCTGGCCTTAGAGATGAATGTTTCTATTCAGCTAAATGAAAGGTGAGACCTAGCCCTGGCAATCTGTTCATGAAAGCAGTCCCTTTTTCTTCAGTGGTTCAGAGAACCAGGTTCTTGGCATAGCCTTGTTATAATTCATAAAACACTTTAATTTTCCATTCTTCTTTTTTTTTTTTTTTTTTTTTTTTTAATGTAGTTGTATAAAGGCGGGAACCAGGATCATTCCTGTTGTGTCTTTCCTAGTGCACCAGTTCAGTTAGTTTCTTGTGAAGAGTGTCATGAAGTATGGGTGGAAAACACATGTGTAATCTGATTTTTATGATAAACTGCCTGAAAATGATGACTGAGTAAACGTTTTTGAAAACAAGAAAAGTACATTTACTTGCCCGTTAAATCCATTTACAGTATTGGCACCAGTTCTCCTTTTTGTTTGGTTTGCTTATTCTGTCATGTTAGCAAGTGGCCTGTGCTGCAAGTATATGTCAGGCTAACCCCTTGTACTGGAAACACACTGCAGCTTGTCCCACTGGAGATGTTCAGGCATATTGTACTCAAATCTTACTTTTGCTGCAGATATATACCTACAGTTCATCAGGTTAATGCAAGGAATAATTAGGAGTAATTAGGATGAAATCTAGCAAATTACTAAAACCAGACATGAGTTGTTGGTTTTTTGTTTGTTTTGTTTTGTTTGGGTTTTTTTTTTAATAAAAATGAGTGTTCACAACAGATTTATTTCTTTACTGAGCATCACACAGTTCAGAAGAAGAGACCCCTAGGACTAAATCATCTTGTCTGGGGGAAGAGTAGAGCAATAAGGAGAAGACATGCAGGAATTGCTCACGGGCGCTCTGTTTCCTTGTGAAGATGCCACACATCTAGTGATCATCTGTCTGAAGGTGTGACTCAGGGATCCTGGGCTATTCTTGCTTTTCAGTGCCAGGCCCTCAGTTTGTCATGTTCCCATGTTTTTTTCTCTCTGTTTTGCCTGCACAGGAACCGGTCACACTAGTGGGCAGACCTGAAGAGCGTTCAAAGTTTGTTGGTTTTGCAGCAGGATGCCAGGACTGGCCACGTGGAGTGCAGGCTGAAGAAGACATACTGAAGGGAAACCTGGCACTAACCCGGTACAAATGTGATCATTTAATGCAAGAATGAGGTGGTGATGTGGCAGACAGTATTTTACTGCAAGGAAAAGACAACAGCAATGAGTTTCTAAAATTGCTTTGAGCCAACTCAGCATGTCTTTTTGACCTGTGACAGTTGGATTTCTGTAGCACTAAACACAACCCAACTATCTGTTTGCATACACAAGATGCTGACACCCACAGTGCCTGGCAGGATTTTGCTAACAGGCGTTTTACACCCATTCCTCTTACAACAGAAAACACAGCAGAAGTTTTCAACTGTACAACTTTTTTTCTCTTTTTTCCCTTCTGGTCATGTACATGTTGGTCTCTGTTGCTGTAAAGCTTCTTGTGCCTTTCAACTATCAGATAAGAACTAGCCTGTTTAGCTGGGCTATTCGTGCTTTCTACTTTGTCTGGGTTTTTCAGAAATATTCTGGTTTAATATCTGTTCTTACATGGGCAGGGGAAGGAGAAAGAAGGAAGTGCTGTAAAAACATTCCAAGATAATTATCAATTAAAAGAGGGAGTGTGAGATTGGGAAGTCACGGATCAGGAAAAAAAAAAAAAAAAAGCACCCTAGAAATATATGAAACTGGATTTTTTTTCCTCCATGGTACTTCCACAGTTTCTTCTTCTCCCTTAGGGGGACTCTGGGTGGGAGCCATGCTTCTGGTAACAGAGGATATTTTCAGACACCCCAGATTGCGTCAGGAAGTGGAAGCCAAATTATGAACCACAATATCGAGCTTTTTCTCACCAAGACCTTTATTTCTGCAGAAAGGCTTGAAAATGGCCTTCCCTGATAGTTACCCTTTCCCATCCCAGGGGAGGTGGATGTAACATCTCCGAGAGGCAGCAGAGCTCTTCCCGGCATCCCCAGAAAGAGAGATCATTTTGCCGTGACAGGGCTGTTCGGAGCGCTGTCAATCCCGGCCGCCTTTGAGAAGCAGATCCCCAAAATGCCGTTGTCACGGTCACTGTTCAGAGTGGAAATGTGCTGTGACTTAGAGTTATGGTAGAAGTGTGTGTGAGCTATGACAATTTAATGTTTCTACGACAGTAAATTTCAGGCAGGCTGACGCTGTCTCTATTAGTGACTCCACAGCATCTAGCTGATAATGCTGGCACCAAGGTTTTTACTACGCTTCAGGGGCTCAAGGCTTTTTTGTCAGAATCTTACAAAACCCGAGATAAGTTAATTAGCAACTAAAAGCTGTAAAGAGGCTATAAACTGCAATACACAGCATGGTACGGACCTTTCAAAAAAATGCTTCAAGTAAAAACCCTGGCGTATTAACTCCTCTGAGCTGTATATGGCTTGAACATAGATTGAAGAGGAAGATAAATGGGAATACATCCGGCATGCTAGGAGAATGCCACAGTGCACTCGGGTAACCAAATGTGAAAACTTACAGGAGTCACTGCACATTGACATAGTGATGGATAAGAGTGGATCAGCTCGGAGCACTAAACCAGGCCGGTTTGGAGACTTCCTCTGGGAAGGTGCTGCCATGAACACGTGGCTGGATTGTCAGGCTGTGATATGCCACCGGGGCAGGCAGAAGGGCTGTTTGGTTTGGGGAAGGAGCCGCAGGGCCCCGGTGGCTGGGTGCTCTGTGCTGGGCTCTACCTGAGGTCCCGGCGAAGCTCGGCATGGTGGGTCCCGTGGCCCTGCGTAAGCAGATGCCCATGGGATGATTCACAAAACTATAATTACACACAATAGTGCAAATGTTTAATTAATCAAGCCTTGTGTCCCTATTATCCCCTCACTGGGTTTCACTAATAATGACCCAGAGGAAAATTCTGCTCCTGTCTCTGAATTATATTTTATTTACAAGCGTTTCATTTCTTAGACAATTTTTCTCTCTCGTTCCTGGGTAGCACTACCAACAAGAAAATAAAATTCTGATGTCCTTTACATGTAAAACTTGTGACTGGCCTTAAAATTCGAAATCAGGGAGGGCTTTGTGCTAACTCACATGGTTCCTCTAGCAGAATAAATTAGAATAACTTAGCACTTAATACGTCTCTTGCCTCACATTCACAAGATGCATAAATATTTGGCTGTAATCCTATCACTAAAGCTGAGAGGAAAAGAAAAGAGGGCTTGAAGGAAAAGCCATTCTGGATGAGGAAAGAGAGCAACCCCTTCCAAGTTGGTTTGTAACCCATATAAAGGGTTAAATCGCAGAAGGGCAGCTGGAGCCAAGAACTGAGTTCAGGCCTCCTTCGCTGGCAATGCAATGCTTCTGCCACCCCCAAAAGTCAGCCGCTGGTAAGAAAGTGTTAAAAAGGATATTGTTTGCATTAAGGGGCTGAATTTTCCACTGGGTAATCATCAGTGAAACCCAGCGAAGGGCAAATGAGGATGGCAGGCCTGATTAATTAAACATGTGCTACGGTGCTAAGAGCAAGATTTATGCTATTGGTTTTACAGGAGTCATTGATATTAATACTGCCAGTAGAAATTTTGAGCTGCTGTTTACTGTTTCCATTTTTCACTGCAAAACTGGTGTTAAAAGTACAAATGAGTGTTGTGGAGTATTGCTGTAACGCTGTAGTTTTGCTCTCTAAATGTTACTGCTGCTCTACGGAAGAGATCTTGCAGTGCTGCTATTAGATGCTCTGTTGCACTATTTCCATTATAATCTCCAATTCTGGAGGCTTTTAAACCCGATTACAAAAAATTACTTTGGGCTAAAATCCACTTTACAAGGATTTCCATCCAAGGTACATATGTTTGTTTATGGATACATGAGT